TTCGAAAAGGAAATCGAACCGAAGTGAGTGCTCATTCTTTACTGTCATTGATATTTTGGATACGCTATGACATATTTGAATGCCAAAAGATTAGGAGGTTCCAGATTCTCATAGCCCCTGATGTGGACTTGTGCAGCAGCTCACGAGGACAAGTGGATAATTCAAAGAAGTTCAAAGAAGCTCCTGGAGCTACTCAGATGGGTGAGGTGTCGTTAATATACAGTGTAACGAACAATTACTTTGAAGATTATTTATTGACGGAATCTACTAGGCCTCTGGCCTTCAATACACAGTGCATGTGCGGGGAACTTCAATAGTCTCGACGAATGAAATGGGATGGCGGCTAAGGTCGACGACGTTCTTGCGGACCTTGTGAAGGAGTTCGCGAGCTTCACGAGATGAGCGAGGCAGGCAAGTGAAGCGAACCTTCTTGTCCATCGTCTCACCCTTGACTTCGTTCCTGCGGCAGACACGGACGGGCTCAAGCGAGAAGCAGACTTGGTGTGGGTACTCGATCACATGGTGCTTCTCCAGGATTTCTGTAAACACAATAATGAATGCCTGGGAGCTCATTTAAATGATAAGGAGCTAACCTTCCTCCTCACTCTCAGCCCTGTATTTGTAGGTGCGTCTCATCTCCTTACGCTTGTCATCGTTCTCGTAGAAGTCAAGCCAGTCCTCCTCACTCGATGATGACGCGCTCTTCTCCAGTCTGTAGTGCTTCTTCTCACGGGGAAGTTCCTTCTCGACTTCGCACTAAAATTGTTTACAATCGCAGGGTAGGAACACAATCTTTTCACGTGACCACAAACCTCATCGTTCAGAAGGTACGACTTGTGGAATTCCATGATGTCGTCGGTGTATTCCTTCTTCGGGGTGTAGAATTCGTTGTCCTTCTGTAAAGGCTTCAGTTTTTTGGGCAGGTTCAACGTCAAAACTACGGTAGATACCTCTTCGTCGAAGTGGCCGCAGAGACCGCATTGCTTTTCAGTCATGTGTTTGCCCATGTAGACCTTGACGGTGTAGCCGTCGAAGTGGACCATGAGGTCTTCAAGTCTCACGCGGACCATGTTCTCCTCAATCGGCTCGATGCTAAATCACCAAGATCATTCGCCAAGAAATTGAATACAAGGAGTTGGCTTCGTACTTGTACTTCTCCAGTTCTTCCTTGTTGACCTTCTCGCCGTCAACATAGACTCTGAGTCTGCCCTCATTCATTTCAACTTCGAAGACCTGCTCACGCTCGTTGATGATCTTCATCTTCTGGAACGAAAAGGATATTAATGAAGGGGCCGAAGTGAAGCAGAACCAAACAAACCTTCATTTCAGAATCCTTCCTCATCTTCTTAACCATGACAACGAATCGAGGCTCCTCCGAGCAGTCCTTGGCGATAACCGAGTAGCAGTTGGTGAGTGGAGCGCGGAAGACGACATCGTCAAAGGTTCTAACCTTCGTGCTCTTCACCTCACACATAGGCTGGTTCATCTCATAATGGATGTCACGGAGAGTTCTCTTGGCAATAGTGGGGAGGTACAGCTGAGGAACAACGTAGTTCTCCAGTTCCATGCGCTCATATGGGGTCTCAAGCATAACGTTGATCAGGTCACGGGTGATTGGGTCAACGTTCAGTTTCAGGTAGATCCTGTCATTTTCACGGTTGAGCCTGGTGACCTTGTTATTCCAGATAGTGTATCCCTTCATGTAGTTGTAGATATGCTCGAAGAAGTTCTTCATGCGAGGAGAAAGTTCGTAATCAGCGACGACCTTAAGCTGGTTGAGTCGGCCAGCCTTGAGGAGGAGATCGTAGGCGGTGAGTCCCTCGTGTTCCTTGTTGACGAGTTTCAGCCACTTCTTCTGCTCCTTGCTCTGCTCCAGTTGGATCTTCATCTTAAGCCTGTTCCTCTCCTCAGCTCCCCATTTCATCTCAACAAGTCCCTGAATTTCGCGGTGCTTCTGGTTCTTGAGCTCCGTCAGAGATTTCGGCATCTTTGGCAGGACGAATTGCATGTGTCCCATGAAAGTCCACTCGCGTCGTTCCTCGTTGATTGGAGAGCGTTTGCCTTCAATGGTCTTCTTGCAGAAGCCGAACTCTTCATCGCAAACGGTCACAATTTCGACATGTCCGTAGTATGGCACCATTGAGTCAACAGCTTCGATTCTCATGTGCAGGCGGTGCTTGTAGCCGTTCTTCCTCTCAATCTCGCGGACATTCCTGTGGAAGTACTCGCGGCGTTCACGCTCCTCAAAGTTCTCGTGCTCACTGCTCTCAACTTCGAACTCCTTCTCGAAGAGGTCAGTGAAATCGATCTTGTCGAGACGAACCTTCTCAATTCTTGAGCTATCCAAGAAGAAGCGGATCTTCTTCGGTGCCTCACGAGTGGGGGTCAGAACGAATTCCCAGTCGTACTCGCCAAGAAGAATATCGCGCACGTTCCATTTGTGGAGCCAGTTTCCGCGAGCAATAGCCTTCAGTCCCCAGATGTTGTAGGTCCATTCCTTCTCGGTGTTAAGGTGTCTCCATTTGGGAAGAACAATAGTCTTCAGCTCAGTCTCAGTGATGTACTTCCTCTCACCGCTGAAGAATCGGAAGAAGGTCATTGGTCTCGAGGTGTAGTGCATCAGAGTCTTTTCCTCAGTTGGGATGTTGAAGTTCGTTCTGATTTCGAATCCATTTCTGTAGGTCAGCTCCATGTCAAAGTCGACCGGCAGACGAGCCTCGAGAGAGCGGACGAGTTTTACTCCCTGCTCGAAAAGTGGGTTCTTCACCATCATCTCTGCGACATGGGTGGCGACAACAGACGGCTTGGTGTTAAGACGGACACGGATTCCGGCATTTACCATTTCCACGGTGAATTCTCCTTCAGCAGACATGACAGTAGGCATCTTAGATCTGATCATCAGAGGCAGACCAAGGGTGGTGGGCAGCTTCCTGATCATCTCGTAGAAGAACGTGAAGGTGTGCAGCTTGAACTCAGGTTCGCGTCTGAGATATCGTTCGATTTCCCTGGTCTCAAGCCTTCCATCTCGGATGAACTTCTCAAGCAGTTCGTCGATGATCTTCTCGTCGATCGGGAGAACAGCGTAGTCCATGCCCTTGTGGCGGAAGTAAAGCATGACATATGGAGTCTTGTTTTCAACGACACGTGGATGAATGTTGAGCTTCTTGGCAATGTCCTTCAGGAGGTTCAGGGACTCACGAATGCGACGTCCACGCACAACGGTGTTCGTATTCCTTTCCATCCTCATCAGTTTGCTAGTCAGTTTCTCCAAGATCTGCTCAATGTTCTGCTGAGTGATTCCGAACTGGAAGAGGTATTTGTGCCACATGCCTGAGAAGACGGTGTCGAGTTTGACCATCATCTCCCTCGGCCACACAGTGTTCTTACCAAAGATGGTGGCGAAGTCCATGTTAGCACCGGTCATGAGCTCTTCCTTGAACATGGGCAGGTACTTGTAAGTGCTGGTGTAGACACGTTCTCCGCGCTTGTAGCGGGTCATGGTCATGAGCGGACGGATTTCAGAAGCAAGCTTCTTGTAGCAGGTGTGGGTCGACTTGGCGAAAGAGTTCAGCAGGTCATAGGTGAAAGTAGCCACTTGCTGGTTCGGCTCGCGCTCCATGGTGGAAACGATTTGGCTGATGACGGGCTGGGGAGGCAGGGTGTGCATGATGCGGACAAGAGCGGCCATTCTGAGCTCGGGCTCCTCAACACGGCTCTTGTAGACCGGCATGAGGATGGACTGGATCTTGCGTGGCATCCATTCTTTAAGAAGGCGCAGAGCATCAATGGCTTCCATGCGAACGAGCAGCTCTTCTCGCTTATTCAGGATGATCTTCTCGAGTTCGTAGACAGACAGGTCAATTCCTGCGTTGGCGATGCATTTCAGCACAAGCACTTTCTCGTAGATGTCGTCAGCCTTCTCGTATTCCTTCATCAGGATGTTGATGTATCTGCGCTTGAGCTCAGGGACGTCCTCCTTCATGTAAGTCTTATCCATAGATTTTCCGACAACTCCGTGCATGACAGATCCAATGGTGAGCCAAAGAGATTGGCGGATGACAGGTGAGCGCTCGACGACCTCGTTTTCGGCGAAGCGGAGAAGCTCTTCGACGGTCTTGGGTGATGGGTATGGAGTCTGCTGCATGGACTTGAGGAGGTGCACAGTTCTGTAGGTCTTAAAGTGTCTCATCTCCATGTGGCGAAGAAGGTGAGTGATGGTGTTCCTGGTTCCAGCAATGGCCAGCGAATGCTCGATCATGCTCTTAATATATTCCTCAGCAGGCATGTAGATCTTCGTGTGAAGGGTGGACAGCTCTTCGAGAGTGAGCATGCGGAACATGGAAACCAGGCGAGAAAGCAGATGGGTAGTTTCATGCTTGTTCTCCTTCAGCTCCTTGATTTCTTCAACGGTGTTGCGGATGACCTCGATCTTGTCTCGGATGCGCTCATAAGGCAGAACCTCAACTTCATCTCCATACATGTGGAAGCGTTCGATCTGCTTCTCGTACTCGTTGGAGTAGACCAGGGTCTCTCTCTTTCCGTCGGTCCAGTCGAACTCACGTCTGATCTCCTTGATATCTTCCAGGGTGAGTCTGGTGCGGATCTCGGTCTTCATGATTGGCTGGTTCTCAACGGTGATCGTGTACATGGAGCNGTACTCGTTGGAGTAGACCAGGGTCTCTCTCTTTCCGTCGGTCCAGTCGAACTCACGTCTGATCTCCTTGATGTCTTCCAGGGTGAGTCTGGTGCGGATCTCGGTCTTCATGACTGGCTGGTTCTCAACGGTGATCGTGTACATGGAGCGGACCTCGACCTTCTTGAGACCCTCCTTCTCAAGCAAGTAGGTGTAGACCGTTGTGGGTTCGAGTACGTCCTTCTCCTTGCATTCTGGGCACTCAGTCAGATAACGGAAGTTGTACTTTGCCTCTGGACGACGGGTGCACTTGTCGAAGTTAACGGACTTGGTGATCTCAGTGACAAAGTCCTTCTTCTTAAGGATAGTGTAGGCGACCTCACAGTCTCCTTCGATCGTCCTCTCGGTGGTGGTGTAGTAGTCGTTCTCACGGTTCACCTCGTACCTCTCCATCTTCGGCTCGTCAGTTCGTCCCATCTTGTGCAGGTTGAGCTGGAGCATGTTGATGATGGAGCGCTTCACGTTGGCCGACCACGGCTCCTCTTTGTTAGCGAAGATTAGGTCGGAAACCATGCCATTCTTGTAACCGAAGCGCACCGGCATCTCAAGGAGTTCGACGTGCTCCTTCGACATGAGGCGCGGCTTCAGTTCATCGGTCGGCTGGAACAGTTCCTTGCGCTCGTCTTCTCCAGTGACGAAGCGTACATCTCTCAGCTTGAGGATGGCGTTGTGGTCGTCAGGGATCTGGACGTGGACCATAGCTTGGATGCGAGAAACGGTGGTATCGGTGGGAAGTGGAATTCCAGAGTGAACGTCTCCTTCAAATCGGAACACATATTCATTGCGTGGTTTTAGTGGGAGCAGGTCCAGCGAGTTGTGTAGCCCGAAGGCCACACCAATGAGGGCTAAGAGGGCGAACCTCATGATGAAGTGACGATAGTTCTGCTGCACTCCTTTTATACAGAATCTTATCACTTTGTTGCTCGTCATGTAGTCATTGAGCAGAAGAGTGACAGCTGATCTGCTGTCCATCTGATAGAAGCAATATGATTGCAACATACCGTAGTATCCGATAGATACCAGCCAGTAAGATGTATTGAAGGTTCTGATTTGTATGTAGGACTCCCATGAATAGTGTGCCTGGAGAAAGACACCTGTATTAAGCTTCTACCACTACCCTTTACTTTCATTTACCTGAACTGTGTGTACTAAATTTAACTTCCCACACGCATTGTAATGGGTTCGAATCCTGGGTCGATATTCGCCTAGGTCAACCAAGCCTTCCATTCCTCCGGGGTTAATCGGTACCAAACTCATCTGGGAGGAAAAAAGTACTGACTTGTACATCGTCTGGGCACCGCAAGTCATTGCATAGGCCACATACGCATTCAATTCGCCACTACGATTCTGAATGAAAGTCGAGTGCGGGGCACATCCCTCAAATGGGATTGATTAACGCCAAAAACTTTCCCCTATACTTCTATCAATCTTCAAGAGCGGTGGTGGTTTAGTGGCAAGTGGCGCACTATCTCACACGCATGGTCATGGGTTCGATTCTTGGGTCGCCTAGGCCAACTAGGACTTCCATCCTTCCAGGGTCTGTCAATCGGTACTAAACTCATCTGGGAGAGAAAAAGTACTAGATTGTACATCGGCTGGTCACCGCAAGTCATTGTATAGGTCACATACGCACTAATTACACCACTACGATTCTGAAGAGAAGTCGAGTGCTGTGCGTATACCTCAGACGGGATTGATCAACGACCCAAGACTTTATCCAGGCTGAACAGTTCATGTTATACTCTTCTACGAATTTACAAAGATCGATACACTTTGAAACAGGATTCTTCTAGAACAATCTGCACCCAGTTATTTTTACGTGATGTTCCTCGATTGGGCCGTAAACATATGTACCTTGGTTTCTGAATGGGCAAACAACATGAGCTAAATATAGAACAGCAGCACGTTTCATTGCATCGTTCAATGACAGCCTTCACTCAGAACTCCATGGATGTCATTCATCACAAAGATAACGGTGAGGGACAACGACTTACATGCCAAACAATACATTAATAAAAGTCACCGTGATATTGAGCACTAAATTTAGTATCTGACGAAGTCCATTTGATCGAGAGACCATATTGAGATCGCCGAGCCCGGTGTTGCCCAGGAATAGCCCGGTTCTGTGAGAACTGTTAATTGCAGTACCGGTGCAGACGGGTTCATTTCAGTGACTAAGTGAGTACTGAGCAACTGAAGATGTATCTGCATGTCATCGGTAAACTAAAAACAAGGTACGTTCTTAACAAGTAAATTCAATTGGTAAGTATAAAAACACTACCTTACTATCAGTTTTTGACCCCTCATCGCTGGTTTCTTCACGGAAGGTGGTTTCTCAGAGAGGTGTCATGCTCTGTAAATTTTCCAGTTTTGTGAGCTGTTATTACTGCTGTAAACTAGCAGTGTCTTCGAGTTTCTAGCACCGTTATACTGCCAGCTAATAAGATATTTTTGCTCTTAAAAATGTATGTACAGTAGCGGCATGTTGCCCTAAAACAGAGTCCACAGCGCAGTAAGAACTCCATCATGACATGAATATACAAAATATACAACCTAAAGCGAAAATAATAATCTCGATAGGTTATGTTACAGAGTAATGCAGTCTTCCAAACGTAACTTCCAAATTAACATATATCGGCTCATACTGAATTTCATGGGTCAAAATAATAACAGTTTGAATCTACACATTCTTGCCAACGAGAAACATGTCTAATAAATTCACTTACATAAAATTCTGGCCTCCAGAATCGATGGAGCCCGTTCCCACCACGCTTTGGTTTTTGAAGCGTTTCCTACGCAAGAAATCACCCAAATGCTTGGAGAAGTGGAAATTAGTGTGGGATAGATCCGGTGAATGAGAAGGTGAGGTAAAATTTGCTCAACTTCTGTAGCTCACCCAACTTTTGCAATGAATTATAGTTCTTTATACATGTTGGAACACATTGCCATAAAGGAGTGTTGGTCCCTTTCGGTTGACTAGCGCTGGCCGTAAAACCTGCAGTTTCCGCTGCATCCCCTCGATATGCTGGTTGTACGTGGGTGATGTAACAAATCACACTTTACCAGGAAGCTGGGATGAATAAGCCCTGCCGAAGACCGACGTACCGACAAACGGTCAGCATGACCTTCTTCTGGCGCAGTTCCGGCTTTGGAAAATGACGTGGAGCTCCGGGGCGACACAGCCATTGCCTACTTTTCTTCCTACTGCCGTAAAAGAGTCGTTCTTCGTCGCAATCAAGAATACGTTTTGAAACCAGGCCGTCTTTGTAGCAAGAATTGAGCAAAATTTCGAAGCGGCGATTATGCTGCTGATCGGTTAAATCGTGAGGGATCCATTTGTCGAGCTTCCCGACCTTTCCGAAATTCTTAGGTTGCTTCGACGTAGCTGGCTTGCTTTCTATTCCCATTTCTACTGCGACCCTTCGTATGAATGTGGTGGGCATTCCTCCATCAGTTTCTTTTTTAATTATCGCCGTCAACCTCTGAGGAGCGTCCACCATGTACCACACCTCCAAGAAACTCTGAAACCAACGTTTCACTGTGCTCTTCACGCTTCTTTGACCCCATGCCTAGTTGATACTCCGGGCTGTTTCCGGAACACTACTTTCAAGCATGAACTCGTAGAAAAGGATCAGCCTGAACTCCTGATATCTTCACAGTGGATCTGAAAAAAGCCTCTGATTGCAAATTAACCAGAACCCCATATTAAAAGTGGAAAATACATATGATAAGCCCCAATATTTGTGATAGTACACATATTAAGCGAAGGAGTACTTGCTGCCAAAATCTTTAAATCAAGTACGTTTCGTCAAAAACCGCATTTCGACGAACCGGGGACAACCTGATGTATGTTGAGGACGAGGTGAGAAAGGGAAGAAGAAGGAAAAAAAANAAAAAAAACGGAGGAAATTGACTAAAAAACTGGATAGAGCTCCAACGCCATGTCATTCTGCACAGCATGCCCTCCCGATTAAAGAATTTCATAGAGAATTCACCATCAAGTAATGAAGTAGAAGCTTTACCATAGCTTACCTCAGTAAGCCATTGCATGTGCCCATTAACACAAGGAATTTTAGTAGAGGCGCAGCTCATTCATCGTCCAGAAGTCTATATAGGAACTATAAACTTCCACTTACATTAATTCAAGGTCAGGGTCTTATGTTTCGACTGAGTGATCATTTGAGTGTTTAATTATAGTAGAAAATTAAAAATCACCCAAAATTAAACCACACGAGAGGAGGAAATTAACTACGAACCTCACTTCGACGGAGTAAATGAATGAGGGAATAAGCGCTTTGAGCGAATCTATCCCTCCATGATACGCCACACAATCGACTTTTATCCATACGCAAAGGAGCCATTAATTTTGTAAATGACTAATGGAACCAGCTGAGTCTTCATTCAAATACTTTGTTGAAATTTGAAATATGTTCTAAGACAGTGATTATGAAAGTACCTTCGACTCGTCAATAAAAAAAGTTCAGGTGAATCAGTTCCTCCGGGATACGCCACGCAATCGACTTTTAGTCATGTGCGAAGGGGTCCCAAATTTGTATTATGACTAATGGAACTAGCCGATGTAAAATAGCTTCTCTTCATCACTACATCAAACCTCGGAGTAGAAAGGGCAGCTTTTCAGGTTTTCAGGGGCAAAACCCTACTAAGAGGTCGATTTTTCTACATATAATACCTTAGGTAAGCGCTACTCACCACTTCCGATTTCCCTTACAAATAGGACTACTGAGGAATGATGAAAAAAATTGCATTTGTATTAGCTGCAACCAATACTTGCCAATCTCTATTAAGATTGATTCAGTAGATCAAATCAAGCGGCACCCATCCTATCGCTGATCGATTGAATCAATCATGCTGAATGGCATCCAATCCAGCTTCCCAATGCGACTTTTTTGCATATTTTTCTCAAGCCTGATACATTTTTCTGCCAGTGTTTTTCTTTTTTATTACACTACTAAATTCAATGAGTAGTGTACCAGACCAACATGAAATCCAGTTGTGCGTGATGGATTGACAAGAAGTGTCTGCGTTTTTTTGGGAATTGTATTCATTCATAGCTTTTTGACCATCTCCTCGCTATTGACGATTAAGATGGGTAAGACGATAAGGGCGAGTTGCTAATGATAATTATAAAATAATTCGTAAAGACGAGCTACCATTTTCTAGCAATCGGACCGTTTATACTTTGCTGAAACTGTATTTTACGAACTTCTTTGCTCTTATATTTTATCAACAACTTAGTTATGGGAAAATACTTCCTGTGTATATCTTATATATCTTTCCTTTCTAGTATTTCCCAAAGTAAGAGTAATTTCTTCGCTTGTAATCCTTCCCGTTTGGGAAGCGTTCCCGACTTGTCCTTCCAATCGGAATCGTAGTGGCGTATTGAATTGCATACCGGGCTTGTAAACTGACTTGTTGTAGCCAGCTAGAAGTGCTCAACAATCCATGCCAGTGCTCTTATCTTCCCAAGCGGGTCTGGCATCGATCAACCGACTCCAAAGGGATGGAAGATTGGTTGGTCTGAGCAGAAATTGAGCCGAAATTCAATCCCTAGACCAGGTGTCGGTGAGAGTGCGGCACTTCCCACTACTCGATCTCCGCCCGTTGTTTCCCACAACAGCTCATAGTAATGTGAGTAATGGCTGTGAATTCTGGCCATTTGCCAAGCCAGATATGTTAGCTTCAGAAGTATAACTGCTCGCTCAGATCCGCTTTAAACGGTGGTGGGCTCACGTCTGTTCATCAAAAGCCTCTATTGCATAGGTCTTCCGTTATGATTGTGCTGTAAACCTCTTCAAATGAGTTAAGGTGTGCCGTCTGGAAATGAGTAACTTTTGAAATAAAAAACTCTACCTGTAAGTTCTATTTTGTCTCCTGCACCTCTGCTGAATTGGTGTGCCTACATATATAGCAATAAGTAGTACTTCTTAGTAACTGTATTTATGTATGAGTTTACATTTCTGTAAGTAGTATCGCCTTTTTTGAGGCACTGATTTGTTCATACAAAAACTGGTCAGAGTATAGGACAGGAGAACTGAGTTTATCTGAATCAAAAGCGCAGCCTGTTGGTTCTGCATGAGGTGCAGTCTCTCCTTGATACCGTGGAAGTAATTCCTATCTTTTATGGTTCTGTAATATCAATGGCAAACTGGCCCTGGTGCTCATGACATTTGAGGGACCTATACGGTCGATGACTGGTTTTTACTCCTAGGTTAGCCAGTGTATCCGCTTATCTCAAATTTGGCTTTTAAGTACGAGAGGTACCTAGAGTGCTGCCTTTGTACCGAATATTTTAAAAGGGGGCCCTAATGTGAAGGAAACTGCCCTCATTATGTCCGCAAGACAGTATTACGGAGGTATTCCCACGAATTATTTCATACAGGTGGCTCACGGTTGAGTTTCTTGTTTACACGACTGATTACTATGTAGGTAACAGAGTGAAGTAATCGGTGATAGAACTAAATGGACCGGATAAAAATCTCAGTGTTCTAAGAAGTGATAAGACTTGTTCAGCATGGGGGAAAAGAAAAGGAGGAGGTTGACCTGGAATTGAATAGGGTTGAGTCAAGATTGGTTCGACTTCTGGAAAACCGACTTTTCACCCTTATGAGGCACTCTCAACAAAACCGAGTGTTCACTGCTCTTAGCACTGAACCACCTTTGTCTCCACTGTTGAAAAAACGATTAAGAATACAACTAGGGCCTCTGGAATTTCTACCGGTAAAGGACATTTTCGGTGAAATCATCAGCCTATCCATGGGTGCCGTCAAGCAGCGCAATCATGCGCTCATCTCGATGTACTTGATTGATAACCTGTCAATGGCAGGGGGTATTTGGGACCGGTTCATTTTTGGTTCTGTATGGGGACTCATTTGCATCACACAGTTCTTGATAGCCAGTTCGATGCCGTTTCCTGCGTTTTGTGCTGAAATGAGGGACACAGAAGGTCCTTCTTCCTGCACTGCACTTTTCTTTCTTTCATATTTCATTTTGTTTGCAAAATCCGGAAATCCTTTTTTTATGGGTCCTCCCCTTTTTATGAATGCATTATGACAATGAGATTGAACAAAAGCATTTGCAACGGGTGTTACATCAAGAAATATTTGTTTTCGGCGTTTTTTACTGCGAAATCTTCTCGTATCGATCAAGAATGTGTAAGGCGATCAGCACATAAAAGTGTAAAACAGCGGCAATAGTTCTTCGTCCAAGATCTTAGTGTTTTTCCCTGAACCACTCATCTCGCAGTACTTTTTGTTAAGTAATTCCCCACTCTCTCTTTTTGCCTGAAATTGTCCGATTTTTTCCGTCATTTTTTGAGTAGACTGTTTGACAGGCAGAGTCTACGAAGGAAATAGCCATCAATTGCACTTTTCAAGAAAAAAGTTGTGTATTACTGAACATCTTTCTTTGTCAAGTGAGAAAAGTAGATATGTCAATAAGTCAATGTAGAGAACAGGACCTAGGCCGATGTCTCGATGCAGAATTTTCATTCTGGAATGCGCCACGCATGCAACCACATTCAAAATCATGGTGACTCAATTTGAGGCATGATTCCATCTGTGCAATGATCTGAAGGATATGAGCTGCAGAAAACAGTGATCAGATTCTTCAAGTAGTTTCTTCACCAGTCAATCTATCTCAAACAGATGAAATTCACAGTTGGCTTTAGCGCTCTTGAGGAGAGGGCCCACTGGAACGCCATCTTTATGTTCAAGAAGTGGAATATGTTCAGTTCGGATGGTCATGGTCAGTGACCTTACTACACTTAGGCCTTTTTCCCTGGCTCACTACAGTTAGTTAATCTTTAATGATGGGATTTGTGATTGATTACCCGTCGATCGATGTGTGACTCTCTGATTGTCACTCACAGATAATTGGTGAGAGACAGGATCATCTGTCAGAGTATAATCTGAGTAAATAGCTCTGACATGAAGGAAAAAAGCTGAGTCGTGATCAGAAATTGAGAACAGCCTAGATTAAATAAGGAAGGGTAACTACTACGGAATGACATTGCAAGACCCCCGCTCATCCTTAGACGAATAGGAATTCTACCTGTAAGTCGCTTTCGACCCATCCATCTGCACCACATCCTCCACAGATTTGGCTCTGTTGAAGTACGAGGTTCACAAGTTCTACACAAAGGCTTTGACGATGTTTAGTAACGTGTTTCAATGATAACCACGTAGTCACTGATAAGTGAAAACTCGTAGAGCTGAAAAACTACTAAGAGTGATGTAGTAAACTTTTGCTTCTAGAACCTTCTAGAGCTGCTTTTTTGTTCCCTCTTCGGTTTCATGCTTCACATTCAAAAGTTTTTACAAAATCACCAGGATAGCAGTTCATAAATCGTTTACTCACTTGGGTTACTAGTTAATCAGTTGAGTTGAGATGACAAAAAGGGACTTGGAATGCTCGATCAATTCACACTTCCATTCCCTTGCGGAAATCGTTCTCTGTGATGAATGACATTGGTCTTTTTGTCTGTATAATATTGAATGCCATACATGTTTATTAATCAGAGTCCTTTATTGTTAGCAATCAGGAAATACCAATGGATATACTGGTAAATCAAATAATGTGATCCATGTGCCTATAACCAGACTATGATATGCGGCATCCGTCAGATGCCAGACTGCTAATTTTTGACTTTCCTTCTTTTCCTCAGAATTTTGCTGACTATGGTTATACCTACGTCGCGCCTGGTACCTGAGCTCTACCTGGGTGCTTTCAGTGGGATTCTGTAATCGTAAGATGGAAACTGAAGTAGAAGGAATACTAGTTGAGAGGGTGGTCAACTTCCATATCGGAACTCACTTTTCCTATGGTTTTTAAAGAAATTGGTTCTACTATCTACTTCGAAAGCGGTAATCTTCACACACTGGATACCTGTATGAGTCCGAGACCACCCTTCAAACAGTAGCTGGCAGTAATGATGTCAACTTATAACTTATAGCTTATTACATTTGTTCAATTAGGAATTAAACGAGTTTGTTCTCAAATGATCTCATTCACTCCTCTCTTTTTGCA